CTCCATAACAAAACGACGTCGTTTTGTTAATAAAACTTTCGGAAGAACAAAATGACGTTGTATCTTACGTGGCTGCCATGTATACTCGATTTGATGGATCATTAACAGATTACGAACATAAATTGGTTTTAGCACATATTTAATTGATCAAGTATGAAATTAAAATTTAAATGATGTTTAAGTATGTTTTAGCCAAAAAAAATAGTTTAGACATAAGTTTAACATTTCTCGGAAGTCCAGGGATGAAAAAGCCAAGTTTCCAATTATGTTAGTTATGATTGAAGATAAGAGCATGCATATAAGTGAAGTAATATAATGAATTAATGATAGTTTATGCACAAGATCGAGAAAGTAGTCTTTAGCTTGGTCGGAGAATAAAAGAAAATAATTTAAGGAGTTAACAAATGCAAATATACTCAGTTTTAATAGTTTTGTTATCACCCAATAAGAAATGCATCTCAACATCTCGAGTTAACCAAATGGTGGTGGTCTTTTAGACATGGCAAGAAAAGTTAGATTTCTATGAATATAGGAAAATTGGTTTGGGTTTCGACCTAGGATACTCTGGTTGTGTTCGAGTTTAAATGGAAAAGAAAAATAAAAGACTATTTTAACCTGCTCTGATCCCTAACCCAAAATTATTAGGAGCAAAGATCAAAAACCTCTTTGAAAATTTTTTTTAACTACTAATTACTAAAGACTATAAAAGTGTTTTTGCCCCTCTACTAATCATAATAATGGGCACCGTTGGGATGGGACATAAAGGGGTTTGGTTGCTCCTTAAATTTTCCTCTTTTTGAAATGTGCGGTTTTCTTTTCCCTTCTTTTTAAACCCACCATAATTTATATTCTTTCTCTCCTACATCACGTATCTAATACTACGCCGGCGTCTAATACTTTGTAGCATAAAATTAGATTATGACTACTTTTACTTAGGTCTGGCTACGTTTCAGGTCACGAGTTCGAATCTCGATAACAGAAAATGACTAAATTATCTTGCTCTAGTCACTATACCGAAGAGATTATAAGTGAAAAATCTGTATCCCAATGCGCGATAGATCTTTCGCTTATAATCTATAATCTTTTTGTTATTGAAACTAGAGCAAAAAATAATTTAGTCATTTTTTTGTTATAAGAGACTCGATCTACTTTGTTTGGAAGGTCCACAAATTGAAGCCAACCTCATTGCGCATTGGCTATATCTTTGAAAAACATCTGTGATGTTGATTAAGGGAATTAAGTAATATTGTGATGATGATAATAAATGGAGTTAATTCACAGACATGTGAATAAGAACAAAAGGAAAGGTATTAGGTTATCAGTACCCTTCTTTTGCTGACCAACTTTTCTCACTATGTTCACATCACACACTAACACAATACATTTATATACTTCAAACCTTTTGCATACTCTTTGAATACAAGTATATAAACACACGTGTGTTCACATGCGCAAAATCAAAATGCGTTCGTGTGGACAGTGTGATCGACTTCAACCTTAGAAATATATTGCGGAATGTAGCAAATAAATACATCAACGTACAAAAAAAGAAAAAAATTAGGGTCCCATCAATTGGAACTTATTAAAATCTCAGATCAGGCCCGGCCTACAACTGTAAGGAATAGGTGACATGACCATAACACAAACATTTTGATATTTTAAAATAGGTGGGACATATTTTTTTTTAAATTAACTTATTAAAGAAAGGATCCTATTCTTCCAAAAACTATATATTTAAAAAACATGAAGGGCCCTTGTTTTATTTTTGTCATGTATAAGATGAATGTTATGCTTGTTTACAAACGAATCAGATTATATTTGAATTGTAAAACTTGGTGTATATAATATTCCATTAGTTAAAATCATGGTTTTTGTCTGAAAAGCTCAGACCTATAACTACTTATATTATTGGGGGTTATTTGATTAGCAGATTAATCATTATAAGATATTAAAAAAAAAAAAGAGAGTCTGATGATAACTATGTTTTGGAACATTTTCAGCATGATAATTTAATGTTGGTCAGATGTTGTTTTCATGCTCTTTTTGAAAAATCCTATAATGATTAATCAGCTGATGAAACAACCCCCAATAATATAAGTAGTTAAATGTTTAAGTTTTTCACACAAAAAAGTAAAAAACAGTGTATAAATTCAGTCAAATCTTGTTATCATATATGAGGTTATAGTGGTCGCAAAAATGTCCAATAATGTTGATACAATGGTAGAAGAGGACGATGAGAACTATTAAGTTTTTTTTTTCTCTAATGTTTTGCTCGAGAAAGAATATTGGTAAATTTTATCAAGAAAAATACTATATTTAATAGACGTTTAAATTTTATTAAACTTAAACCTGGCTATATTTTCTTACATATTAGTTTAGTAAATCAGTTGGTTCTTTTCTCTTATTTATTCACATAGGAAGCATATATATGATAAAATAGGCGTACTCTCTGATATATGGTACGCATCTTTACTCAATTGGGATTCCATTGTTCCTCGTGATCATGTGTTTACGTATCTGTTTGGGCGTTGTTGCTTTTTGAGATTTAACCCCATTTGTACCTTTTAAGAGTTTATGTTTATCTTCTTAGATTAGGGTTTTTGTTTACAAAGTTCTTATTTAAAGGAGTCTTGAGTTGTAAGTTGAAGTTAGCTTTTTGATTAATAAAATACACCAAGAAATTTTCAGTTTATTTACCTTGTTATCGGCATTCATCGTGAATCACACTTTCGTTTGAACGGCCAATGACCATTAATCAGAATAAACGATCATCAAATCCTCATTTTAACAATGACAAAAAAGAAAAAAACAAATCCTCATTTTAACGGACATTTTTTAGAATCAACGGTCATCAAAATCTATCAAGTTTTCGCTACTTCACTTTCGTTAAATTCTCTTCTCCTTTAACTTTCCACCAAAATAAAAATCTCTTCTTCTCTCAAATGGTGGCCGAAGAAGTCCATGGAATAAATCATCCACTTTACTGTCCAGTCAAATTGCGGCCAATAATCATAATTACCGTTAACGCGTTTTTTTTGTTTTTTTGTATTTGTTGTAAAAACAAAAAGCGAAGGAAAAAAAAGTCAATAAAGATTCTCTTTGATGGGAAAAAGGATCAGACATTTTTTTGGAATTTTGTCCCAACCCCTTGTGACTTATCTATCCTATAGTTTACTTATAACTATGACAACAAACAATACATTCATCGTAAGTCATTTATAACTCTCTCCCTTCTCACTCTAGAATTGATCCATTGAGGAATATGGAGAGACAACAGAATTATCTACTTAATTGGGTTCACCAAAACCAGTGTGGTATAAAGGTAAACTATAACATCATTCTACGTTTTTCTTCTAGAGATTATTTATTCACATTCTTTTCTAATTTTGATTGCTCAATTCCCTCCAAACTCAACTGTATATTTTATTTTTGTGGGCAGACAATAGAAGAGCTAAGACATTCACTTCTGCACACAACAATGGAGTTAGAACAAACAAGAATTGTGGCACAAGAAGAACTCAATACCAAAGACGACCAGATAATGCAGCTCAAAGATCTCCTCAACAAAGCTACCAAAGAGAAAGATGAAGCACAAGAGAAGTACAAGAAGCTTCTTCTTGGCCAAAACTTCATCCTTCAACACAAAGCAGGTGAGGAACAAGATCCAAACATCAATGGGTTTCCTTCATCAGACGGCGAAGAAAGCATCGTCTCATCTTTCGAACCGCCGGTGCAAGAGTTAGATTTTCCGGAGACGTCATTACCGGAGAAAGGGAAGCTTTTAAAAGCGGTTTTGAAAGCAGGGCCTTTGCTTCAGACTCTGCTTTTGGCTGGACAGCTTCCACAATGGCGTCATCCACCGCCGCAGCTTGAATCATTTGAGATTCCACCGGTGATTATTCCTGAAGCAACACCATTGTCACAAAGTAGCTGTGGGAATAATCTAAACAGGAAGAGGGTTCACTGTGATGAGTCTAATTCCAAAAGAGAGGCAAAGTACCAAAGGCTCCTCTTGCCTTGATTGTTGATGTATTCACATTCTGATTCAAGCATGAAGATGTATAGAAAAGAGTTCACTTTTCTTTGTATTCTTTCAATTAAGGGTCATTGAATGCCAAAAGCATTGAAGCTTGAATCTTTTCCTCCCATGTGGGGGTTGTTATAGTGGGTCCATAGGCTGATCCGGTCTGGTTTTGAACAAACCGACCCGTTAGTTAACTCATTGAATGGCAAAACACTGGATCTTGAATCATTTTTGCAGGTTAACCCGCATTTCGTAGCTTGTTTGCAGGTTAACCGCGGGTTAGCTTCTGACCCTATCCAAAATTTTGAGACGAGGTTTCAATGCTTAAACCAAGGTCAAAACCGGCCCCGCTTAAAACAGGTCAAACTAAAACGGACCGGCCTGGCCCGTTGCAACAATTCTATTCTCTTGTGAGTGTATAGTGTGAGAAAGAGACTTAAAGATTAAATGATGTGAGGTTCATGAGTGTATAGTGATTGGGATTTTTGGAACCCACAGATCCGAATCATTATCGTCTAAGAAGACATAAATTAATAAGATTTATTTTTTCAGCGACAGTAACAGTGAGTTCTTGCCCAAGACATGAGTAGGAGTTGGTGGATCTTCAAGAAAAAAGTGGGAGGACCAATTTTCTTGGTTATGCTTTTTTGCACTATATTATTATTTGACTAATTCACCTACTAATCTCATTTTTTCCTATATACAAGTTGATATCTTTCGTTTACTCTTAAGATCCATGGCAAATCATTCACATAGGTTATTCAAGAGAAAAGAAGGTAAGTTATAGCCTTTACTAGGAGAAAGTTTTGTGGGAAAGCGGCCTATTCGTGTTTCAACTGGACTCCCTGGTACGATTTGCTGCCTGTACTTTTGAGCTGTGCCTACACATACCTCAACTCTTAAAAATTTGAATTTTCATGTCTGTACCAATATTCGTTTGGCTAATTCATGCCTTGACTAATTCCCCGTTAGTCAACTCCGTTAAGTTGTTAACGGATGCTGACTCATCTGCCACGTAAGAATCCCCGTTGGAACAAAAATCAGAAAACGATGTCGTTTTAAATGAAATTGGGTTTCAAATTTTTTTTTGCAATTTCAGGAATTCGAACCCTTGACCCTTTTGCGTTAGAACCGACTGCAGAACCAGTGGACCATGTGTGTTAATTAGTAAACCATCACCAGTTACCAAATATAAAGCTTCTTCACAATTGTCATTAAACAAAACAAGTAATACGACGTCGTTTTATGAAGCGGGTATTTAAAAAGATGTGCAAGCTCTAGGACTCGAACCTATAACATGCTTGCGATTAAACCGGCTCCAGAACCAGTAGAATATGTAAGATAATCGATAAATCATTGCACACTTAATTAATATAAACTCTCACAATCCTTGTTAAAAAAAAAAGAATCGATCTTCTTCTTCCTTCCTCTTCGAAAGGTTCTTCCTTCGAATCAATCCCGATTTTGGACGATGACGGTGGTAGCTGTGGTTTAGCTTGGTGAAATTGGTGAGAGGTTGGAATAATTTGAGGCAAATTCCGAGTCTTGGGACTCAATTTCCCTAAAAAATGAGGTATTTTAAAAATCTAGGGTTTAGGTTTTCGATCTGATTTTCAAATTTTATATTGATCTTCAATTTTTTAATCGTTTGGAATATTAAATTCGTGTCTTAAGCAATTGTATATTCATATTTCAGCGACAACTTGGATTGTGTGTTCATCATATATTATGGTGGAAAGTTTTTCCCCAATTTTAAATATAGACATCGACGAAGAAGAGGAAGAAGAAGATCGATTCTTCTTAAAACACATAAAAGTAAAACAACGTCGTTTTACTTGTTTTTTTAATGACGATTGTGAAGAAGTTTTATATTAACTGGTGATGGTTTGTTGATTAGTACATATGGTCCGCTGGTTCTGAAGTCGATTTTAATGAAAACAGGTCACGGGTTCAAATCCCTGAGAATGCAAATTTTTTTTTAAACCCAATTTCATTTAAAACGACGTTGTTTTTTAATTCCGTTCCAACGGGGATTTCTACGTGGCAGATAAATCAGCATCCGTTAACAGCTTAACGGAGTTGACTAACAGAGAATTAGTCAATGCATGAATTAGCCAAACAAATGTCGGTACAGGCATGAAAATTTAAATTTTTAAGAGTTGAGGTATGTGTAGGCACAGCTCAAGAGTACATGCAGCAAATCGTACCAGGGAGGCCAGTTGATGCACGAATTAGCCGATTTCCCGAAAGTTTTGTGCACTTACAATTCAAATATAACGAAGCTGAGCGTTGTAGCACGAGCAAAAATCGAGGATAAAGAGTGAATAGTTAATACTAAATACAGAGCATCAATGACATTTAAGATGGATAGTAAACAATCTAAATGTCCATTTTTACTTGTACAAGTTGATTTAATAAGCTAATGGTACCACAAATAATAATAAAAAGATCTAACTTCTATGTTTCAATTACAACAATTCTAGGCCGGATTGTTGCAAACAGTTCAGTTTAAAGAATTGAGCCATAATTGGTAATTTTTCTCTCTTTCTTTTGTTGATCAAATAAATAATCTTAATTGGTTTACACCATTGCTTTTTTCTTTTCTTTTCTTTCATTTTTTTTTATCTTATTCTGCTAGACACAACCATGGCAAGATCAATAACTCTGATATGATTAAATAAACGGAACTTTGTTTGATTACCTACGTACTTTTGTTTATATGAACCTAAACGACAAAAAATTCCCATCAATCTGTTTCTACGACAAAGAAATCAAAATCTTCAGAAATAATATGATTAAGAAGCTGAGTTGTGTAAAGTTAGGTCATCTTGCATAATTGAGTGGTTATTAGTGGGCCTAAATTGGGAATGAGCTTCAAGAATTTGTCCAATCTAGTACAATATTTCAAATTATTATTTTCATTGGGCTCAATCATAGTTGTCACCCAAATCTCCACCTCAGTTACTTCATCTTTGTGATATAACGCTGCGAGTTTCTCATCTCTAAGAGAAGAGAGAGTCCTAGAACCGAAATCATACTTGTGAAACGGAAAAAGTAGTTGACCAGGCCCATTAATAAAATTGGGTTCGAATAAGGAAAAAGCGGGGATATCTTAACATTTGTCTTATGGGCTTCAAAGCATTTTTGCAGTGGAAAGTGTGTGAATGAAACAAACTTCAAAGAACAGAAAAGCAATACAAGGAAACCTCTTTATCTTATAAAAATAGGAAGAAAGGTAAGTGATACTGTATTTATAGAATCAAGAATGGTTCTTATTGTTGGATGGTTAAATCTAACAAAAAGAAGTTAATCAAAAACATGTTGTTGAATCATGGATGAATAGAAGGGGAATAAACAAATTATAAAAGTTGTTGGGTTGGCCCAAATGGATTTTTTTTTTGTATTTCAAACCTGCTTCATTATATGACACATTGAAGATGGCCAACCGGATTTTTTTTTTTAATTTCGAACCCGCTTTATTATATGACACATTGAAGAAAAAAATCAGTCTCAATATTATTATTTTTGGGCTAATAACTCTGTTACAGTGACCTCAGCTCAACATCAATAATTACATGCATGGTTTCGATATAGTTGTATTTTTAATATTACCCTATGATAAAGAAATAAAAGCATGCACGTAAATCTAACAAGAGACATCTTCATGCACGAGTTTTTATTCCATTTCAGCTTTCCAACAAAGAAAGAGAAAGCATATATAAATATATATATAATCGCTTTAAGCTTTTCCTAAACTGCAAGTTAATTAACGCTCGAAATTAGTCATATTATTTATTTGTTTACTCAAAGAAAATGCAAATAAATGTAATATATATGTATATAATATTTAAATGTTTTTTAAGTAAATGTTCGATTAATAATACCAAATTTTAGTAAATTTCGTTTTATTGTAGTTTAGTTCGGTTTGATCACACCAAATTCAGATTCATTCTAGCTGATTCGATATAAAATATTTGTTTCCATTTGGATTAATAAAAAATTTGTATTCAAGTTCTGTTTATTAGTTTTATGTTCAGTTTAGTATAGTTTTAATATCCAATACGAAAAATAATTACAGTCTTCCTTTAAATCATGTGAAAGCTCAAGGACGAAATATTTAGTGTAGCAAACAATATTCTGCGTTTTTCTTCTCAAAGAAACAATACTCGGTGTTTCAATGGTTAGTGAGTATTCCACTTCTAACTCTAATAATTCTAATTCTAATTCTAATTCTGATTTTAACTCTTTTTTGTGAGCAAAATTTAATAATAGCTCTCTTTTTGATTCTACAAAATAATTTGTTCTTAAATTATGCTGCAATCAGATTAAATGAACTCAAGCAAAATTTTGTGAGGTTTAGTCTTGGGAATATATGTCTTGATATAGTTTCTTTATGTTTGGTTCTAACTTCTAAGTTATTTGGTAATTTCTTTTAATTTTTTTTTTTTCATATGATTTTTTTTCTAGGGAAACCTTTTCGCCAACTCTGGTTAAGTCCATCTTGATATTTATTTAGACCAAAAAAATAAAAAAGAAAAAGATAAAAAGAATGTTGACAAAAAAAAGAAGGCGACATGACCGAATAAAATCACAGTGATTTTCAGTGTTTCGTTACAAAACAAAAGAAACTGTCTGAAAATAAGGTAAAAGGCACTAAAGGCTTTAATCTCTCTCTCTCTCTCCCTTACTGTTACTGTCGTCTCTCTGTCTCTCCATTAATCTCCAGTCCTGTCCCAAAAAAAAAAAAATCTCAATTCATTGCAGAAACTCACCTCTCTCTCTCTCACTCACTCATTGGTCAAATTCTCTCGCTCGACTTCATCGTTAAGCTTGTAAACTCTGTTTCCCCCCACCCCCCCCCCCCCCTCTTTTTCTCTTGTTTCCTCCAGATTGATAGATCTGATTCAAATCGAGAAACGAAAACAGAGAATGCCGGAATTAGCCTATTAGGGTTTACTTTCTTATATTGGGTCACGAGAAAGAAAAAAATGGAAGCGAGGATGAAGAAATACAGAGAAGTAGTGAGTCCAGAGAGAGCAAAAGTCTGGACAGAGAAATCACCAAAGTATCATCAGAAGATCAAGAAAGTCCAAATTGTTTATTACCTCTCCAAGAATCGTCAACTTGAGCATCCTCATTTCATGGAAGTCTTGATTTCTTCTCCAAACGGTTTATACCTTAGAGGTAAAAATCATTATAATGCTTTTGACAATTACAAATTTTGGGAGATTCTGGGAATTATGAAGAATCTTTGTGCGTGTTTGCAGATGTTATAGATAGGCTTAATGTTCTTAGAGGTAGAGGCATGGCTTCAATGTATTCTTGGTCTAGTAAAAGGTATAAACTTTCTTTGATTTTTCACTTCTCTTCATGAAAACAATTTCTTTGATTTTTCACTTCTCTTCATGAAAGCAAGCAAAAGTTTCCAGATTTCAATGTTTCTTCATTTCAATCTGCAGAAGCTATAGGAATGGTTTTGTTTGGCATGACTTATCAGAAGATGACTTAATTCTACCAGCTCATGGGAATGAGTATGTTCTTAAAGGTTCTGAGCTATTTGATGAATCCAATTCAGGTCAGAAAAGAAAAAAGAACCCTTTTTTGAATCATTTGGTTTATGTTTCGATGAAAAGAAGCCTCTGAATTGTGTTGTTGCAGATCATTTTAGTCCAATTGCGAATTCAGCGACACAAAACATGAAGCAGATAGTTGTGGAGCCACCATCATCTAGAAGCATGGATGATTCATCTTCCTCTTCGAGTATGAATAATGGGAAGGGGACTAATAAGCATTCTCAGGAAGACGACGAGCTTTCTCCTCCAGCTCTTCGCTCTGTTTCTTCCTCTGGTGTATCTCCTGACTCTAGAGACGCCAAGAACTCATCTTCTTGGTGTTTAGCTGAGTACAAAGTGTATAAAAGCGAAGGACTCGCAGACGCTTCTACACAAACCGATGAAACTATTACCGGTTGCTCTAAACAGACCTTTAGCAGAGGTGTTTCAACTGATGATGATGGCTCATCAGAGCCTGAAACCAGCGAAAACATTCTCGTGAGCGAGGCTTCGTGTGCAGGGAAAGAGAGTGAGAGTGCGGAAATATCAAGAAACTCTGTCTCTCCACCATTTTCCAACAGCGCAAAGACAGATACTTTGGAGTCTCTTATAAGAGCTGATGTTAGTAAGATGAATAGTTTCAGGATTCTTGAACAAGAAGATGTTAGAATGCACGCTAATCCGAGGCTTAAGGCCTCGAATATGCTGATGCAGTTGATATCTTGTGGCTCAATATCAGTCAAGGACAACAACTTCGGCCTTGTACCCACTTATAAACCGAAGTTTGGCCACTCGAAGTTTCCTTCCCCGTTTTTCTCCTCGTCGTTTATGATGCAAGATCTTGATCGTTTGTCTGAAACACCGAGCTTAATGAGCCTGAGATTAGAGGAGAAAGAGTATTTTAGCGGGAGTTTGGTCGAGACCAAGCTGCAGAAGAAGGATGCCTCAGTTGGGAATACTTCTCTTAAGCGTTCTTCTTCCTACAATGGTGACAGGTAGATTTCTGAATCACCTAGAAAGAAAATTTCTACTAGTGATTGCCTCTTTGTTTAGTTGGATGCTGTGGTTTGTTTTAATGTTAAGAGAGTTCTTGTGTTCTTTTAATGATGATAGAAACTCATCTTGAAACCAAGAGAGAGAAGCATCTTGAGTATGCTATCTTTTTCTATTGCTTGGTTTGTGATTGGAAAGGTTCTTGATTTGAATAGTAAACTTCATCTCTGTGAATTCTTGAGTACACATTCTTCAACTTATAGAAATACACATGATTTTTGTTTCAGGGCATCCAACCAAATGGGTGTAGCAGAGAACGGAGAATTAAAACCTGGTGGTTCGAAATACATTCCACGCTCGGGAAAGACGCAACAACCACGCAGCGAGTCCATGAGATCTCCTGTTTTAGACAAGGCAAGAGACTCATCAAAAGATACTGCCAAGAACGTGCCCAGCCCTTCTAAAACACCTGATGTGTGCAGTAAAAGAATAACAGAATCTTTGAGGAAGCCTGATTCTTTTAGAGAAGATGAGGAGAAGGTGATCAAGATTGATGAAAGGTAAGCAGAAAAACATCTTGATGTTAAAAGGAACATATCATTGTCATCTTGTTTCATTTTAAGACTCATTGAAACCTCTATGTATCTTGAACAGGCTTGCTTCAGGAGCACGGGTTATAATCCAATCAAAAGTGCCTTCAGCCAGTTCATGAGGAACCCCTAAGCAAGCTTCGAAGGCGGTTTTTTGAAAATATTTGAATGTGAAAAAGGTCCTTTTTTGTTTGTCTTGTGGCGGGCTTCTTTCTTTATTTGATTATGTTGTGATTGTAAATCTGGAAAAGATGGTATGAAAAAGGGGGAACGAAAAAAGTGTTTCATAGAAAGCCTAAAAAAGATTCAGAGAGCACTTAATGTTTGGTTATTGGGCAGTGAAAAGATGTAAGTATGATTTGAGAGAAAGAAAATTTGGAAGGAGAAAGGTATTAATGTTTTGATGTGATGTGAGATGAGATGATGGACCACTGTTACTGATTGGTATGGTCAATTGTTAGGTATGGATTTATTTGTAATTCCAATGGCATTTCGGTTTTCAAAATGTAACCGGCAAGTTACAGTTATCTGAGTATTTACACTGTACACACCACTTTATTTATGTTCTTATCTAGTGTTGTGTATTTCTAAAGATGTGGATGGTCATAAACTCAAGCAATTTGAATTTTGTTTTTTATCTAGATTAGTGTAAGGAAAAAAAAGGCTACTTCATATCGTTATATCGTTCATGTGAAAAAAATTACACATATGTCAGTAAAATTGGATTTGGGATTTTTTGTTTTCTTTCAAAAATTTATGCTATTAATATGAATATGTTAAAAGATTTAGTATCAGCTGTTCCCGATAAATACAACATATATGCTTCTAATTAGGCTCATTTTCATATCATATTTAGACAAAAGTTTCACGTTGTTTATGATCAAGATATTGATATTTTTGGACTCTTATAACTCTCGACACGAGTCTTCCTGAGAGCATGGTCAACTACACTACTATACATGACTATATCTTAGGTTACATAGATACACGAGAATATGATATATTTTTCGAGCTGTGATTTTTGAGTTGCAGATCCTTGGTTTAGTTGACATAAGACTTGGTTTGTTGCAAGAGTATATAGATTGTTCTTATTGTGTGTTGATTTTTGGCTAATGCTGGCTAATGCAATTGATGTAAATGCAGCGAACAGATTTACATATCCATATCCGACTCTGATGTTAGACCATCTATATGACAGAGACAGACCCAACATTAGTCCAATAAATTTAATGAAGTATTAGCAAACCCATGTATGCTAGGGTATGCTAGGGTATGCTAAGGTTTCTAGCAAGTATATATGTGTTGTTAAAGATAAATAGATAACTTTGAGATTGCAAGTTTTGCAATTCACCTTCTTCCCTCTTTATGAATATCAATCTAATTTTTTTTTTTCTTGGTGACAAGTTAGGTTTCTTTTTTTTTTTTCTTTTGTTTTTGCATTGGAATCAAGTTTATAATGAGCTATTTCTATTTCAACCTTGTTGTCTATCTTAATAAACTCCTTTAGAACATGAATTTTCTTGTTTTTGATTTCTACTTACTCCTGAGAATCTAAAAAACACAAAACATTCAAAATAAGTATTATTAATACATAATCTATAACTCAGATATCCGTCTTCAAAATTTATATCACTTGAATTTATCTATTAATAATAACAAAATGAAAAACTATGAATGAACCATTGAACCATTGTGTCTTTCTATTGTACCTTGTCATTTATAGCTGCTAATTTATTCAAATGTTATAATTCATGAATCATTGACCAATTGTGTCTTTCTATTGTATATTTTCATTTATAACTGCTAATTTATTCATAGGTTACAATTTTACAGTTGTGTCATTTTGTTTTACTTTATGAATTATACAATTTCGTATATAACCACTGATTCTTAACGAAATATTTTTCTTTATACTTATGTCTTTTCAAGTTTGTATATATTTTGTTTCAATCTTCATTATCTATTTTTTGAACTTTATTTAATAATACTTTCTACTTTGCGAAACAACCTCTTATATATCAATTTATTGGATGATAAACTTCAAATTAACTTAAAATTCCTTAGTCACACTTTGGTAAAAATGGCGATTTATAAGGCGATTTTATGGCGATTATTACGACAGTTTCTTGAACAGTTTTATCCCTTGTTCACTTCTCTGGTGACAGTTTGTAATCCACTTTTCGGCAAGACAGGAGATCATGTCCCTGTTCCTTGTTAGCGAGCAGTTATTCCCACTAATGAAACCACATTTCATAGTGATGCCCATCTCCCATCAAACTCGGTGAAGAAGCGTATATATAATCCTCAGCGATGGTTACCATCTCCACATCTTTGCTTGCAAATCCCTGCAAACTCCTTCTTTCCACTTCGTTTCTATTTCACACTACTCAAAATGGGAGATAATTTGAGAAGAGCGGTTCAAGAACTTAATCTCGATGCATAAGATGCACCATTTGTCCTTCCGGTTGATATGGTGAATCAAGCAGACAATGAGAACCGATTTGTGATCATGGGCCGCCCCACCATTCCACGCAGACAAAACCTCCATTCGATTGTTGAAAATATGCCTCGAATTTGGGGGCTAGAAGGGTTGATATTTGGAAGAATTGCTGACAACCACAGAGTCCAGTTCATCTTTCCGACAGAGGAAACTTTGGAGAGTGTACTCAGACGTGGTCCATGGGCGTTTGCAGATCGAATATTGGTGCTGCAAAGATGGGCGCCACTGATGGACTTTGCCTTGCTGGATTTCATCCCTTTTTGGATCCAGATTCGAGGGATACCTCTGCAATTTGTGAACCAAGACGTCATTGCTCATATCGGCAGAGCTTTTGGCATGTTGATGGAAGTCGATTACAATGCGGAGGCCATTTCAAGACGTAAGTAGGCCCGGGTTAGAGTCAACTGGGACATCACTCAACCTCTAAGATTCCAACGCCACTTTCAATTCACGCCTGGAGTTAACACGCTTCTGAGGTTTCGTTATGAGAGACTCCGAGGTTTTTGCGAGGTTTGTGGAATTCTCACACATGATTCTAGGTCTTGTCTGGTTCAAAATGGAGGAGTTATCCATCTATCTGATGATGAGGAGGGGGACGATGGACCTGAAGATGAGAGACGCCCAAACCAAGGTGTACAAATCAAGGTGGATTACCTTCACCGCAAGAGAAAGCTAGATGCAGAGGAAACAGAAGCGAATAAGAGAGCAATGGGAATTGGTGGAGGAGATTGCAGTGGAGGAAGCTCATCTTCTTCCGCTAAACAGGCCGTTGGAGGCGCGGTGGGCCCTGAACCACCAAAGCCCCCATGAGGACACTCCATTGGAACTGTCGAGGGTTAGGTTCAGACTCGACGGTTCGACGTCTAAAGGAGATAAACAGGACTTATCTCCCGGACATCATCTACCTTTCAGAGACAAAGCAGCATGACGATTATATTAGAGATGTTGGCGGCCAGTTAGGCTTTGTTAAGAATGTAATCGTTTCACCAGTAGGACTTAGTGGAAGATTAGTTATTTTCTGGAAGAATGAAGTAGAAGTATCTGTTTTTTATCAATCCCCTAACCTTGTAGACTGTTCAGTCAAGTGCAATGGAATCAGCTTTATCTGTTCATTTGTTTACGGGCATCCTGAAACTAGTCAAAGAAACCATTTATGGGAGATATTAGAAAGAATTGGGACAAACAGACGAGGGCAACCATGGTTTATTCTAGGTGATTTCAATGAGTTTTTTGGAAACCATGAGAAGAAAGGGGGTCCTGTTTGTTCAGATGCATCCTTCAGAGACTTTCGAAGAATGGCAATGAGCTGTGAATTTACGGAGTTAAAGGTTGCGGGTGACAAGTTCTCTTGGGCTGGTCAAAGAGGACAACACTATGTTACTTGTTGTTTAGATAAATCAATGGCAACAAGTGAATGGCACAATATTTTCCCTGCATCTGCAACAGAATACTTGGAGTTCACTGAGTCTGATCATCAACCTCTCATAACTTTTATGTCTAAGGATCAAGAGATCAGGAGAGGAAGATTCACTTTTGATGGTCGTTGCTATGATAAAGATGGTTTTCAGGACTCAGTTTTACAAGAAAAGAATCTGACACAGACAAGGACAAATACAAACACAAGTATGGTTGAAAGAATACACAACTGCAGGAAGTACATCTCAAAGTGGAAAAAGACCAAACGCCTAAACGCTGCAGAGAAAATAGCTACCATTCGTCATAAACTGGATCGAGGAATTGCATCTGGCTCCTTATCCAACGATGAAAGAAGATCCCTTAGTAATGCACTCAACAAAGCGTACATTGAAGAGGAGCTATTCTGGAAACAAAAAAGCAGGATCTCTTGGTTACAATCCGGTGACCGGAACACTAAATATTTTCACTCTGACACTAAAGCAAAGCGAAGTCGTAATAGACTAAATTCTATTATGAATGAAGAAGGGGTGATCAAGAGAGGATCTGCGGAGGTTCAAGAAGTAGATATCCAGTATTTTCAAAATCTATATACTTCAACTCCAGTGGCACAGGGATTATATGAGGAGGCTTTCCGAGATTTTCACCAAACAGTAACCCCTGAAACAAAAGAAGACTTAACGAGATCTGTTACCCTTGAGGAAATTCAGAAAGCGGTATTTGATATTGGTCCACATCGGGAACCAGGCCCTAATGGTCTCTCTGGAGATTTCTATGAGAAGTTCTGGTCTGAAATCAACCCTGCAATACTTTCTGAAGTTCAAGCTTTTTTCAAATCTGGTCAGTTGGAGCAAAGCCACAACCATACCAACATTTGCTTGATACCAAAAGTGACGCCTCCTATAACAATGAAAGACTTCAGACCTATAGCCCTGTGTAACGTTTCATACAAAATCATTTCTAAGATTTTGGTGAATCGACTCAAACCCTATCTCTCAAGTCTAATAACAGAAAACCAAGCTGCATTTATTCCTGGAAGAATGATCACTGACAACATCATCATTGCTCATGAGATCCTGCACATTTTAAAAGTAAGGAAAAGGCAAGCTCAATCATATATGGTGATCAAAACAGATATCACCAAAGCCTATGATTGTCTTGAATGGAGATTCTTGGAGGAAACTATGAAAAGAATGGGCTTTACAGACAAATGGATTCAATGGATCATGACATGCGTTTCTACAGTCAGATTTTCTATTCTCATCAAGGACAACCTTGTGGGCTTATATCACCAAAGAGAGGTCTGCGTCAAGGGGATCCATTATCCCCATAGCTGTTCATTTTGTGTGCTGAAGTTCTGTCACACCTAATGAATAGAGCAATGGCTGAAAGACAAATTCAGGGAATCAAGATTAGCAACAGAAGTCCGATGATCAATCATCTTCTTTTTGCAGATGATTCCCTCTTTTTTACTTTGGCGAATGTCAAATCTTGCAGAGGTATCAAACGAACACTTGCAACCTATGAAGCTATCTCAGGACAAGCTGTTAACTTATCTGCGATCACTTTTGGAAGAAAGGTTAAAGATACTACAAGGACAGTGATGAGGAACATCCTAAATATCCACAATGATGGTGGAAATGAGAAGTATCTTGGGTTGCCGGAGCAAATTTGGCTCTAAGAAGAGTGAAATTTTTCAGTATATTATTGATAAAGTGCAAGACCGTACACAAGGTTGGAGTAAGGGCTTCCTTTCACACGGGGGAAAGGAAATACTATTCAAATCAGTGGCTTTAGCTATGCCTATCTTCTCCATGAATGTCTTCAAACTTCCAAAAATTATCTGTGAGGAGATCAGTGCAATACTGGCCAAATATTGGTGGAGTTCTGGTAACAATAAGAAAGGGATGCATTGGTACGCCTGGAAAAGATTAAGTTTACCCGAAAGAGAAAGGAGGTTTGGGATTTTGAGACCTTGAAAACTTCAATACCGCTTTGCTTGCAAAACAGGTTTAGAGATTTCTGCAAAATCCAAACTGTTTAGCAGCAAGAGTCCTTCAGGGAAGATACTTCCATGATAGTCATCTTCTTAATGCCACAAGAAAACGCAAAGACTTTTATGTTTGGAAGTCTCTGTTACACGGCAAGGATCTATTGAAGAAGGGGATGAGATTTATCATTGGGGATGGATCCTTTATAAATGTTTGGGAAGATCAGTGGTTACCAACTCATCCACCACGGTCACCAAGACCACGAGACCAAAAAGATGATTCTATCACCATGACCCAACTGATCGATAATAGAAGAAGAAGATGGGATGAAGATGTTGTACGAGATATCTTTCAGGCTGAAAATGCTGAGAGCATTTTATCTCTTAAGATAAGTCAAACAACAGGCAGAGATCTTCTCGGATATCACTATACAGACGATGGTATCTACACCCAGAAATCTGGATACTGGCTCAGTACTCACCTCCCAGATAATGCCCTGTCAAGAGCTCCTCCCGGGGACTTAAATGTCAAGAGCACAGTTTGGAAACTTCATATAGCGCCTAAACTCAAACATTTTCTCTGGAGATTACTTTCACAAGCGTTAAGTACTGGAGATACTTTAAAAATAAGACATATCTCTTAGGACTCACGATGTAAAAGATGTTGCAGAGGTGATGAAACTGTAAAGTATCTGTTTTTCGATTGCCCATATGCTCAGGTGGTTTGGAGAGGATCAGGCATTTCAAATTAAACGATCCTGGATCAAACTATGACTCTTGAGGCAAAAATTGAGGTTTGTTTGTCATGCAATACCCGGAGTACTTTGTCACATTTTAAGCATTTGCCTTTGTGGATTCTATGGAGATTATGGAAAAGTCGGAATATGTTGATGTATCAACAACAACATATAACGTGGGGACTGACTCTAAGGCTTGCAAGACAAGATGCAATGGAATGGAATGACTGCGTCGAACCCTCGTGGAAGAACCACAACACTCCACCTCTGATTATGTCTCACTCCAGTCGTCACTCATACTGGAACAAACCTTCACAAGGCTTCATCAAATGCAGTTATGATGTTTCCTTCATCAACAGAAATATTCCAGCTAAGGCAGGATGGATACTCAGAGATAACAGAGGCATTTATCAAGGTTCAGGACGAGCACAAGCCAACAAAGTTTCTAAAGCAATTGAAAGTGAACTTCAAGCATTAATCATCTCAATGCAGCACTGTTGGACTAGAGGTTTCAAAAAGGTCATATTTGAAGGAGATAATCAGTTAGTGACCAATTTGTTAAATGGAAAGAAAATCAACTTTGGGTTACACAATTGGATCCGTGAAGCAAGGCTTTGGCAGCAAAAGTTTGAAGAAGTCCGTCCAATTTTGTTGGAGGGGAAAAAAAGGAATATGGTAGCTGATATCTTAGCAAAGAAAGCAATACCAGAGAATTCTTTGTATAATTATTATTTCTATGTTCCTAGATTTATCTCGCACATGTTACACCAAGACTTTGTAAAAGTTTCTTAGTCAATATAATTCAGTCGTTAAAAAAAAAACTTAAAATTCCTTATTAAAACATTGGATGAAAAACTATGAATGAACCATTGAACCATTGTATTTTTCTAATTATTATTTTTAAGTAATTGTACATTTTCATGTATAATTACTAATTTATATAAAGTTCATCATTCTACGGTTGTGTATTTTCATTTTATTTTATTAATTGTACTATTTCATATAAAACCACTGACTATCAAAGGTTGTTTCTTTTAATACTTATGTCTTTTGAAGATTATGTATATTTAATTTCATTCTTTATTATCTTTTTATTGAAATTTTTTATAATACTCTCTTACTTTGAAAAACAACATCTTATATATCATTTAGCTGTTGATAATCTTCAAATCAACTTAAAATTCTTGAATCAAAACATTGTTCATTTGCAAGCAATTGTTACAGAAATAATGTTACAAGAAAAAAAATTTAGTAGATGGTTAGCTATGAATAAAAAAAAAATTCAAAATGAAAGGTGAAAGATCTGCTCATTTCCCAAGAAAATATTTTTGGAATAAAAGCCAAAAAATTATAATTCTCTTGGCAATCATTTTACTAATCTTAAAAGGCAACATAATTTTTTTTTCCTATGGTTTTTTTAGTTCCATTTCAATTTTTTTTTTTAAAAAATCTATTCAGTCATGAATAAAGAAGACCTTGAATTGGAGGGTTTCACATCCTCTCAACATCCAGAAAAATATTTTAGGAAGAAAATTCAAAAAAATCGGACTAAACGGAAAATTTTTAATTCTTTTGACAAGTTTATAACTAATTTTAGAAGGCAATATAATCTTTTTCCCTATGAGCTTATTAGTTATATTTTAAAATCTGATTTTTAATTTATTATTAAATATGCAAGTGTAGCACTACATACATTTGGTTATACTATAATAATTATATAATTTATTTGACACGTGAATGATATACCAAACTACAATGGGGATTAAAGATGCATTTTCTAAAGTAGATAATGCAACTAATATATTTGGATGTGAAGTGAAAAAGGAAGATAAAGAAGAAGCTAATTTATGTGAAAGTGATAAAGATTTTAGTCTTGAAAATAACAAAATAAAAAATAAAAAAATATATATCAAGACAAAAGAAAAGGGTAGGAGGAACATAAAAAAAAACCTAAATCTGTGAAGAAAATGACGATATGAAAAACTATAAATGAACCATTTTATCTTTGTTTTTATTATTATTTTAATTAATATTATATTTTTAGTATAACAGTTATTAATATGAAAGGTTATCATTATTATAAAGTTGTGTATTTTGTTTATTTGTTTTCTTAAATTATAAATTTCTGTGAAAAATTATAAATAAACCGTTATGTCCTTCCTTTTAAATATTTTTTAAAATATATTTTAATGAATATAACTGTTTGCTATTTTGTGGTTATGTCTTTTGGTTTTTTTTTTTTGAAAATAACAAAATCAAAAAAAAATATATATATATATCAAGACAAAAGAAAAGGCTAGGAAGAACATAAAAAAAAGCCTAAATCTGTAAATAAACTGACGATATGAAAAACTATAAATGAATCATTTTATCTTTGTTTTTATTATTATTTTAATTAATATTTGTTTTTTTAGTATAACAGTTATTAATATGAAAGGTTATCATTATTATAAAGTTGTGTCTTTTTATTTATTTATTTTTTTTAAATTATAATTTTTATGAAAAACTAAGAATAAATCGTTATGTCCTTTCATTAATTTTTTTTTAAAATATATTTTAATGAATATAACTGCTTGCTATTTTATGGTTATGTCTTTTGTTTTTTTTGGGTATATGTGTTGTTTATTTAGTGAATATATGATTACATTTTAATAGAAAATGAATGTGGAATATTTAAGTGCTAATTTTTTTGGTGAGTCATTACAACTATTGAGTTTATGGTTATTTTCCTAATTGTAATTTTAGAGATTATGATCATTTTATCAACCATTGCAACTATTGAGTTTATAGTTATTTACTAAACATTGCAACTCTTGTAATTAAGGTTAATTTGCTCTCCATTCCACCTCTTGAGTTGATAATAACTAAACCATTGCAACTGTTCAAAAATTTAACATTTTATTTTTCAATATTGGAGCAATACATCTTTTCAAAATAAAGACACAATTATTAATTGAAGAGGCATAATTTTTCATTAAGAAAATACAACTTTCTACCAAATTATATATATATATATATATATATATATATATATATATATATAAGACACAGTTTTTTTTCTATTTTTATTTAGAGATGGGTAAACATTATATTTATAAAACATACAATTAATCTGTTAAATGCCATAAAGATGAAGTTCTGCTACAATTACAATTTTTTCTAACACCATTGGCATAAGATCTACCAGTTCACTATTGTTAAAAAGGTATTATTTATTCAATAGTGTGATCAAAATTAATTATTATGTATTTTCTTTTTAATTTTTAAAAAATTACTCATATAGTAGGAAATAATAACAATATGAAAAACTATGAATGCACTGAACCATTGTGTCTTTCTATTTGTTATTATTTTTTTAATTAATTATACTTTTTCATGTATAACTACTAATTTATTCAAAAGTTACAATTTTATGGTTGTCTCTTTACATTTTATCTTACTAATTGTATCATTTCGTACATAACTGCTGATTATCAGCAGTTGTTTCTTTTAATACTTATGTCTTTTCAAGATTGTATTTATTAATATATGAATATGTTTTATTTAGTGAATCTATAATTATATTTTATGGTTACTTTATCAACCATTTCAACTCTTGAGTTTCTAGTTATTTACTAAACATTACAACTACTGAAATTAAAGTTAATTTACCAACCATTACACATCTTTAGTTGATAATTATTAAACCATTGCAACTGTTCAAAATTTAAACAATTTATTTTTAAATATTGAAGCATTGCATCTTTTCAGAATAAAGACACAATTACTTATTGAAGAGGCACAAATTTTCATTAAGAAGATACAACTTTCTACCAAATATATATATATATATATATAACAATAAGACATAGTTTTTGTTTTAATTTTCATTTAGAAATGGGTAAACATTCTATCTATCAAGCATACAATTCACCTGTTAAACGCCATAAAAATGAAGTATCTGCTACAGTTACAAATTTTTCTAACACTATTAGCATAAGATTTACGAGTTCACTATTGTTAAACGAAGAAGATATTATTCATTCAATAATATGATCAAAATTAGTTATTATGTATTGACTTAAAAAAAAAAAACTACTCATGTATGATGTTTTTAAAACTTGGCTGATAATATTTGAATTGTTATTGTTTCATCCTCCATTTAAGGGTGTAAAAGTTTAATATGAAATTGATGTAATATATTTTTAAAAATATTTTGCTTGCAGAAAAGTTTCAAAAATCAATGAATACTGCAAATTCTAACAACAATCTTCAATTACAATACATCACTTAAATTATATATTTTTTCAAAAAATACTTTTGGAATGTTAATTGAAATATAATAATTAAAAATTTTTTTTTGAATAGATGGTGATTTTCAACCAACATCAAACAATAGCATTATCCAAAAAAAAAATTGGAATAGTGAGTATTTCTATTGCTAGTCATAATAACATAACTGTTTTTTAATATATTAGAACTAATAATGTTAAAAATATAAAGGAAAAGAAGGAAGACCACGAAAAATGAACCAAATAATAACTTAATGCAATGTCCTGATTGTAATGCTTGGGTTTGGTCATTAGAAAGTACTGAAACAGATGTAGGTATTAAACAACCATTGTTCTCAATTTTTTGCAAACAAGGTCGTGTTTTACTCCCTACTGCTCGTGATCCTCCACCATTATTAGTTAATCTTTTAAGTGAGCCTTTGTTTCTCCAATATATAAGAGCATATATTTCTATCATAGCTTTTACTTCTATGGGTGTAGAAATTGATTATTTTTTTTCAAAATACATATGGAATGTATTGTTTCAAGGTCCATGGTGAAAATTATTATCTTATTGGATCTTTGTTATCAAAGTTCTCTCAAATGTATATTTTTGATACTGCTAATGAGTTAAAAAATCGTCTAACTTCACTGAATGGGGATGATAGTGATGAGCTAGATGAGAATATTGTTTCACAGTTGATAGATATGGTTGATGAATTCATGTTCAAGCAAAGGTATTTCGAAAAGCAAGAGATAGATCTAAGAATACTGGACATGATAATTTTCGTATTCATTTAGTTGGTTATGATAAAAAAAAAGACAGTATGAATAAATCATTGAACCATTGTGTTTTTCTATTTATTATTTTTTTAAATTATTTGTACATTTTCATGTATAACTGCTAATTTATTCAAAGGCTACAGTTCTATGGTTATGTCTTTTTGTTTTATTTTATTAGTTGTAACATATCCGCTGATTATCAACGATTGCTTCTCTTAATACTTATGTATTTTCAAGATTGTATATATTTTGCTTTATTCTTTAGTATTTATTCTATTGAACTATTTTTTTTTAAAATGCTCTCTTACTTTGAAAAGCAACACCTTATATATCAATTTATTGTGAATAAACTTCAAATTAACTTAAAATTCCTTGATAAAAATATTGTTCATTTGCAAGAAATAGTACTATTAGTAATAACAATATGAAACACTATGAATGAATCATTGAACCATTGTGTCTTTCTATTTATTATTTGTTTTAATTAATTGTACTTTTTCATGTATAACTGCTATTTTATTCAAATGTTACAATTCTACGGTTGTATCTTTTTGTTTTATTTTATTAATTGTGTCATTTGTACATAACCGCTGATTATCAACAGTTGCTTTTCTTAATACTTATTTCTTTTCAAGATTGTAATATATTTTGTTCATTGTTCATTATTTCTTTTATTGAACTTTTTTTCTTATAATGCTCTTTTACTTTGAAAAACAACACCTTATATATCAATTTATTGTCGATAAACTTCAAATTAACTTAAAAATTTTTAATAAAAAAATTGTTCATTTGCAAGCAATTGTTACAGAAATGATGTTACAAGAAAGATTTTTTAGTAGATGGTTAGCCATGAGTAAAGAAAAACTTAAAATAAAAGGTGAAAGATTTTTAGAACAACAGCCAAAAAGTTTGGACTAGACAAAAAATGGTAATTCTCTTGGCAATCATATCACTAATCTTAAAAAGCAATATTCTCTTTTGTCTTATGAGTTTTTTAGTTATATATATTTTTTAATTTTATTCAGCCATGAATAAAGAAGAACTTGAATTGGAGGATCTACCATTCACTCATTATCCAGAAAATATGAGACAATTGTATAATTTATTTGACATATGAAACATGATATACCAAACTATAATGAGGATTAAAGATGCACTTTTTAAAGTAGATAATACAACTAATAGATATGATGTGAAATGAAAAAGAAGACAATGAAGAAGCCAATTTATGTGAAAGTTATGAAGATTTAAGTTTTAAAATAAAAAAAATGAAAAATCCCAAAAAAAGTTTCAAAACAAAAGAGAAGGCTAGGAAAAACAAAAAAAACCTTGATCTCTGAAGAAAATAACAATATAAAAAACTATGAATCAACCATTGTGTCTTTCTATTCATATTATTTTTTTATTAATAGTACATTTTCATGTATAACAATTATTTTTTACGAAATTTATTATTATAATTTTGTGTTTTTTCGTTTAATTTTTTTATATTATAAATTTCCGTGAAAAAACTATGAATGAACAGTTGTGTATTTCCATTAAATATTTTATAAATTGTATATTTTCGTGTGTAACTGCTAATTTTATGAAAGGTTGGTATTGTATGGTTGTGTTTTTTTTGTTTGTTATTAGTATATGTGTTGTTTATTTAGTGAATCTATGATTACATTTTAATGGGAAATGAATGTTAGAGATTTAAGTGTTACCGTTTTTTAGTGAACCATTGCAACTATTGAGTTTATGTTATTTCTCTAAACATTACAATTCTAGAGATTATATTATTTTACAGTCATTGCAAATCTTAAGTTTATGATTATTTAAGGGTTTAATGCAAAAAAAACCCAGCACCTTAATTTTTTTTGCAAAAAAACCCATGAGCTCACAAAAATGCAAGTCAAACCACTCACCTACGAAGTCACCCGTTAAACGGCCCATCCGTTAAGTCATCGTTATATCGCTTACGGGAATCAAAACAAAGCGTTCTGAATTACGGAAAGATCATGTTGTTTTTACGACCAACATTATAGACATGTGCTTTAAATGAAAGGGAACATGTTAAAAGGCATTATGTCTCATATGTGGGAGCATTCGATTTGGGGAAAAAATCGAAATTAGGGTTCTAGTTCTTTGCGGCGGTATAAGCGAAGTGGAAGTTTCAAAGAAGAAGATCGAAGCTTTTTCCTGAACTAGCAGATACGGTGAGCTTGTGCATGATTCTATACTCATCGCTGGTTTCTGGGTTGGTTATATTAGAGTATTAGTTTGAGAATCTGGTTTTAAAAATTCTGGATATCTGGGTTTTCTGAAAATTTTGAGTCAACTCATTTGTTAACAGGGAAGATGACATTCAATCATAGCAGCGATTCATCCAGGTCAAGCATTAGCTCTAGGGGTCGTCGCTATGGTCTTCACGGCATTCCCACAAAGGGCTTTTGCGGTGGTTCTACAGTTCTTGTTACCTCTCACACAATCACAAATCCGGGGAGGCGCTTCTATACATGTTCTAACAACTCTGTGAGTTCCTTTATTCACGAGCAAGAAGTGAGTGGTGAAAATTTATTTCCAGAATTTTTTTTGCTAATTGAGTGATGAAGTTTGGATGTTAGTATACTCTGATGAAAATCGAAATCTTGTTAGGATGTTGTGATGAAAATCGAATGCTTGTTAGGATGATGTGATGAAAATTCAATTCCAAATAATTTGAAAAGTGAGTGATGAAGTTAGTATGTTGAATCAGCGATTTTTTTTTAAGGATGGAGGAGTTCATGTGTGGAAGTGGTGGGATGAAGCACTCACTGAGGAGCTGATGGAAGTGAAGGGAGATTTGAAGACTCTTGAGGCTAGGATTCGCTATGGACATTACCACTCTGAGTGTTCTAAACTTGGAGAAGATGAATTGAAGATGGTGAAGGAGTTGCTTGATGTGAAGAAAAAGTAAGCAAAAGAGGTGAAGATGGTTGTGGCCGTCGTTGTTACCATCGTTGTTGTTGGTGTGCTTGTTAGCTTGGTGAAGTAAGCTTGGTGAAGTAAGCTTGTGTTCCTTTTTGTTGCATTATCGGTTGAACCCTTCATTTTCCATAAAACATTAAAGGGTATTATGTAAGAATATCTAGTTATGTGTTGTAAGCTAATTTCAATTGATGTAAGACAATCTACTTTTGTGTTGTTATGTAAGACTATCTAATCCTTTGTTAAGACTATCTACTTTTGTGTTTTATATTTCAGAATCTGTCTTTTATTGTATTTGGTAAGGTGTATCTTATGTGTTGAATTCTAAAAGAATCAGATGCTGCATAAGAACCACCATTAAAATGACTTATAACAAAGTCATAACACAATCATAACAATCACCATTAAAAAGACTCATAACAGTCATAACAACCAAAGTCTCAACAAAGACTCATAACCAGTTTTTTCCTTGTTCAAAACACATCATAATACGTAGTTTTTTTAAAAACATAACAAAAGAAAAACATCACGGTTGTGAGGAGCCACGGCCACTACCACCACGACAAGCAACTGCCATCTTCTTTGCTTCTCTAGCTCGGTAGAGGCTGCTTGGAAGGACTGTGTTGTTGCTTGTATCTCTCATAGACCTCCCAAGATGAATGTAATCATCTCCTGTCTCTGGACTTGTGAAGATACCATACCCTTCCTGCAAAACAAAAAAAAAGTTGTGTAAAGAAACCATAAGATGTATGTGTATAAGTAAACCAAAATAACCAACCAAAATTCAAATTACTCTTGGAGGCTGCATTGATCTTGTAACTCTGTTTGTTGGTTGAGAATGCATATCTGCCTGACCTTCAGCAGATGGATTATTGCGTGGTCTGCCACGCTTCCTTCGTGGAAGTGCAGAGGAGAGGCTCGGAAGATCTTCCTGATCTTCCTCAGGCTGAGAAGAAGCTCCAGCTCCACTATTGAACCAAGCTCCCCAACCTCCACCAACCTGAGAAGTACCAGCTCCATCATTACTCTGAGGCACCCAATTTCTATTCGGTCCAGGCACAGAATTGCAGTTTGGTGCAGGCTGAGAAGAAGATTCAGCTCGGACATCACTTGGAGGCAACAAATATCTGCTTTCAGGTGGCTATGAAGAAGATTCACTTATAGGTCTAGTACGGGGCCTTCCCGGTGGCCTCTTCGGAGGTTTCAGTGCTGGATCATTCTTGCACTTGAGAATGTTATGACCTTCTTGACCACATTTGCTGCAGTGCTACACAAAGTAAAAACCAAAAGAATGCTAAGTTTAACACGATTGCTAAAAAAAACCAAAAAATTGCTAAGTTTAACATGATTGCTTTGGGTTGTTTTTTGGCCTCACCCTTCTCTTTCTTTCTCTGTGTACCAGGAGGCCGACCAGGAGGTCTCTTGTATGGTGGAGGTTTAACCCGAACAGTGGTAGTTATCTCCCACATGTTCATACCATTCACAAGATTCAAAGCAGAAGCATAACATTTTCTAAGCTTTTCAACTGTAAACCAGTGACTAATAAGAGTCTTTGGGTCTTGATCAGCATTTCTCTCTAGTCTAAGTCCAGAAGCAATATGGCAGCAAGGAATTCCACTAATGAGATAAAGCCTACATGTGCAGCTTGTTTCATTCCTCAGATGCACCACATACCTGTCGTTGAAATAGCCCACTTCATATTTTCCAAGTCCACAAGGTAATGGCCTACAGTGCTTCGCCAATTCGATCTGCTGATCAAGTAAGGCCACAACTTTAGGAGTGTAATCTCCTCTGGTTTTAGAAGCTTCGAGCCTCTTCTTATCATTACACACCATCACTCTCCGTCTGATTTCTTCTAGCATTTCGACCACCGGTTTTGTTCGTGCAATTCTGATAGCTGCATTGAACGACTCTCCTAAGTTGTTCTCGACTGCATCACACTTTGAATACTCAGAGAAAAAAGCCCTGCATCAACATCAACAAACAAAAGACTTTAAGCTAACGGCAAAAAAATTACACCATCTATGGTAAAACTAGAATATTACCTTGACCAGAGACAGAAGACATTAGTCTTCAATGCAGCATGTGCATCAGAGTCATACTCCTTCAATTCTTTCATTTTCCTATCAAACTCTTGTGGATAATACGAATCAGCTGCAGCCCAAAATAAATCTTCTAGCTCTGCTCCCGAGTGTTTCTTCTTCCAATTAGCATGAACATGCCTTGCACATGACCTGTGCTCAGCATATGGCAAGACGATTTAGACTACAGCAATTAATCCTTTCTGATGGTCACTTGCCAACGTGTAGCCATTACCTGATGACAAGCCCAAATCATCTTTCAAATGTTCAAAGAACCACAACCAATTCGGTGTGTTCTCAACTTCTACAATACTCCAAGCTATTGGATACATCTGATCATTCGGATCTCGGCCACACGCCACTAAAAGTACCCCTGTCATTCTCCATTTCAGATGAGTCCCAGCGAGGTGAATAATAGGCCTACAAGCTAACTTCCAACCTTCTGCCAGACCAGCAAAACATACATAAAATCTGTAGAACCTGGTCTCCCTGACATCACATTCCACTTTAGATCCAGGTTTTGCTCGTTTCAGCTCATGCACATAGTCAAAAAGTCTTCCAAATTGCTCGGCTTGCTCATTATCAAACGTTTGCAGACATCTAAGCCTAGACCTCTCACAGATTGTCCAAGGGACATTAATGTTACGAGCCAATAGTTTCATTTGCAACTGATTTGCTGAAAAATCCGGATTCAGTCTGAATTCTTCAATGAACAACTCAGATATTCTAGCATTATTGAGGAGACTTACTTTACCCTGCCAAGTGCAGTTATGTTCTTCCTGCAAAGTCCTCACAACCACCCTAGTAGAGCTGCTGTTTATTGATGCATATATCCTCCAAGGACATTTTCTGTCACAACACACTGCTGTTAGTGACTGTGGTACTTAATATCCTTCCTATGCTTCACTGCATATTTAGTGACTGCTTTCTTGAAGCTCTCCACCGTCCGGTATTCTTGACCCAACTCAAACCTACGGTACTTAGTTTCATCTATCTCAAATTTTCCATTTTCTTCACTATCACTGCTGCTGTACTTATCAAGCTCTTCATTCCCATTTTCGACTTGATCATCAGAGTCAGATTGTGAACCATCAGAAGCATTGTCTTCATTAAACCCTAGGCCTTCGTCATCAGACTGATGAATTTGCAACACCTAATCGCCGACCAATATAAGGGTCATCTTCTCGAACAACATAAAGGGTTAAAGCCCCTGTCCCAACACCGTAGTGAACAGCCCTAGCAAGCAACTCATCATCTTCAATGTCTTGTTTTTTGTCTGGCTGATCAGGCGGATACCAAGATATCATCCTCATGTTGTCCTCATACCCGATGTAATCTGTCAATAGAATCACAATCTTCTTCACTGTAACATCTTTACTATTGTGTCTACCCGCAAAATGAGACTCCCCACCAAGATAATAGTCATCCGGTGACCAGTACCCTCCAGCCATTAAATACAGATCGAAACTATAACAACGACAAAAAAACTATGACTATCGATTCCAATAACAGATGAAAAATGATACAGAGAAAGAGTTACAGAGCATTACCTCATTTTACAATCTCGATTTCTACCTCACAAGTAAGATCCTCAACTCTGTAGCCTCAAATTTTAGATTCTTCAAAATCGCCGCAAAATCTCTTCGATTCGAATCCGCGAAGTCGTTGGCACTAACCTAGACCCCACGATTTTGGAGAATTCGACTAAACCCTAACTCATCATCGATTTCCCCCAAATCGATTACCCCCAAATCGAATTCCCCCAAATCAATTTTCCCCAAATCGATTTTCCACAAACCCTAATTTCTAATTTCCCCCTTTCTCTCAAAATATCGACTAAGTGTTTGAAGTTATGTGTAAGGCAAATTTCATGCCGTTTTTTTAAGAAAAAAACAACAACAACTCGAAATAACACACTGTTTTCGCAAATAAAAAACTCTGCATTTAACCTTCCGTCCATTTTTTTAACAGACTTTCATTACGCCACGTCATCAATATGGGCCTGGGCCGTTTAGCGGGTGACTTCGTAGGTGAGTGGTTTGACTTGCATTTTTGTGAGCTCATGGGTTTTTTTGCAAAAAAAAATAAGGTGTTGGGTTTTTTTGCATTAAACCCATTATTTAATAAACATTGCTACTATTGAGTTTAAGGTTATTTTACCAACCATTGCACATATTGAGTTAATGATTATTAAATCATTGCAACTGTTGGAATTATATTTCTTCTAAACTATTGCAACTATTCATTTGTACACTTTAGAATTCTATAAAATAAAATTTATGAGTAGACCATTTTGTCTTTCTGTTTTTTTTTCTAGTTTTAATTAATTATATATTTTTGTATATAACTGCTAATTTATTCAATGGTTACAATTCTACAGTTGTGTCTTTTTGTTTTATTTTATTAGTTGTACCATGTTTTACATAACCGACGATTATTAAAGGTTACTTCTCTTAATTTTATGTCTTTTGGAGATTGTATATATTTTGTTCTATTCTTCATTATTTTTTTTATTTGAAATTTTTTTCATAATGCTCTCTAATTTTGAAAAACAACACCTTATACATTAATTTTTTGTTGAAAATTTTCAAATTAACTTAGAATTCTTTGAGAAAAAACATTGTTCATCCGCAAGCAATTGTAACCGAAATGGTGTTAGAAATTTTCTTTTAAGTATATGGTTAGTCATGAATAAAGAAAAACTTAAAGTGGAGCGTGAAAGATCTGCTCATTCCCCAAAAAATATTTTTTGGAAAGAAAGCCAAATAATTTGGATTAAAAATGGTAATTCTCTTGGCAATTATATTACTAATCTTAAAATGCAACATAATATTTTTTTTCCTATGAGTTGTTAGTTCTATTTTAAAATTTGCTTTTAAAAAAAAATTATATTCAGACATGAATAAAG